TAAGCAAGCAAGATAATAATAAATCTCAAAATTAGATTAGCACAAATATAAGAACAAGGAACTTTGACTCTAGGTGATTAAGTCTCTAATCAAGAGCACCAAGCTCTGATACCAATTGAAAGCACCCAAGAGGGTGAATAGCATTTATGCTAATCTAATCTGATTTAATGCTAATTTAAAACTAATTAAGAAATATATCCTAGCAAGATTAATATTCAATATTTTATTAGCAAGGATATGCAAACAAGGATGATATTAACATGCAATAAAGGCGATATAACAATATTATGAACACAAGATAAATACGCCAAGGTAAACACAAACACAAAAAAATAATCACGGAGTTCGGTCCTTCCGACCTACATCTCCGCTCCCCACTCCCGGGGAGAATCCATTATACAACCGGGTTTTCGATGCTCACCCGAAAAACGTTTACACCTCCACACTCGGTTTTCTAGCTCACTGAAAACTCTATAATCTCACACTCTTGCAATCACACTCAACACCCTCTAAGTATTGGTCTCTAGCCCGTATCCTTCCTCAAGTGCTCGGATTTACGACCTCTCTTGGCTTTACTACCGATGCCACTCCTCTTGGAACCGACCCTACCTCTCACCACACACTCATCTCAGTGTATAAGTGTATTACAAAGTATATCTCATAATATAGCATGAATACAAATAAATTATTCTCTATAATGGATGAGAACACAATGTAGTCTCACTCTCTAAGTCACATAACCCCACAACCCTAAATTATACAATGTATGAAAATACTAAAAGCTCAATAAGTTGTGTGTGTAAACAAAGAGAAAATCAAATATAAACTCAATATAAGCTCTAGCTTAATGAAGATGATAATCAACAAATAATAAATACAAAGCTAGAATTGAGTTTAGAAATTCTTCTCTGAAAAACAAGATGGAGAGATAGATTAAATTGAAGCTTAAACAATGAAGATGATTTCCTCCACTTGTGAAACTTTCTTCACAAAATAAATCTTGAAAAACACACTTAAATAAAACTTAAACACCATTTTAAACTTGTTTAAAACTCTTCTTAATTACCCTTAGAAGTTAGAGGGTATGAGATATATATAGGATCATAGAACAAGCCCCAAAACCAAGAAAAAACCAAGGAAAAAGAAAAAAAACAGAAACCTAAAAATCTAAAAAAACTAGCCGATGGAAAGCTATCGGTCGACTAATAAATAGTATTAGTCGACTGATGAGCTAACCATTATAGGTAGCTCACAGCTTATCGGTCGACTGAAGATCTCATCAGTCAGCTGATGACCTCATCAGTCGTAAAAATAGAAACTTTTATACTTTCCAGACAATTTCTTCGGTCGGCTGATCCCTTGCATCAGCCGACTGATAACACAAACTCAGCCTGTTATGACTAGTAAATCTGATTTTCAAGAGGCCTGAAAAATAGCAAATAAAATCCAAAAATTATGAAACTTTGAAAAATGATTGTAAACATGATAATGAACATGTTACAAATAGAATTTTTAGAATTGCACTTCCCAAAAGTGAAAATTCTTTATTTTGCAAAATAGTCCAAAAACATGAAAACTAAACAATACATGTTTTTAATATTTTGACTTAAACAATATTTTATAAACTTTTGAATGAGTTTATAGACTTAGGAAAAGATGTAAACTAGTGTTATTAAGTTCATAAACCAAGAATACAATATTTTATCAAAAATAGACATATTTTAAAATAATAAACATGATAATCAAAACTTGATTTCAATGAGAAATCATAATAAGCACATATAAACATGAATATGTATTTATATACGCGTATTCGATTCATGTATATGTGACTAAACACATAGTTTATCAAAACAAAAAAATGGTAAATATGAAACATGTGAGTATGTATATGAATATAATTATTGTTTCATATCTATATAGCTAAAATAAAAAAAACTTATCCATATGAAAACAAATATGTATGTATATAAATATATATCTATTTATTTGTAAAAACTTTGTTTGTGGATAAACCAAAAAACAGATAAACCAATAAATTATGTGTGTATATGATATTGAGCTTGAAGTATTAAACACACATAATATAACACTTAAGCTAATTTACCCAAGCAATATTGATCTTTAATTGAGCTCGCCTTGGTAAACTTTGCGAATGAAGCTTGATCTTGAATTGACTTGAGATGTATAATGGCTTCATACCGATATATCCTTCCATCCTCTAATGGATATGATTGTGAAAGCTCTAGTCCATCTAACCTCCAACTCATTGTTTAGCTAGAATACCTAAGAAGTAAACACAAACAATAGACAAACAACATTAAAAATTATTTGTAATCATCAAAACAAGATAGGGAGTAAGCTCATAAACATGAGGCCAACAGCTTGACTGTACCGTCTACCACCACGGGGGTGACTTGGTGCTGATGTGTTGGCACCATCTCAAATTTAGACTTCATTACCGCTACATCCTTTTCTTTAGTGGGTATTCTCGAGTGCTCAGGTGATCGCCATTGCAATTGAAGCCCAATTCAATGGTTTTTTTGGTAGCCTTACTCATCGTCTGCCACTACATCGAATAGTCCTTAGAGATCCTGAGCCACTTGTTGTGAGTCAAGGTTGGCCAAGGTAAGGGGCACTTGTCTTCAGTCGGTTGACAATCTTCGGCTAGTCTCGAGCATCCTTGATACTAACAAAGGATGGAAGGAGAAGTTCTTCTTCATTTTCGGTGTCGACTACATTCTGGCCTACCCTGCATAACTAGAGATAAAGAAGGAGGGTTTGAAGGCGGCAAAACTCTCTGAAGTGGAGAAGCAAACTTTGGAAAAGATCTGAGCCTATAAGGGGTCTTGTCAATGCGAGAACCTCTTTGACAATCCTGTGCTCCAGGCTTCTAGCTTATCCCATACACCGATCATAGAGGAGGATCTTGTCGAGCTGCACTTTTGGCTCTCAAAGTGTAGTCAGAAGATGTTCCTCACGCTGTCCTCTTTGTAGGACCTTAAATGTGATTGAGTGCTGAGATGGTAGAAGAGGAGTTCCAAGCTCTATGTCAGGACTTCATTGATCTTGCGGCCTGACTTGGTTTGAATTTGACTACGTCCACTGCTCGAGCTGAGAGGTCAGAGAAGAAGAAGAGGAAGAAGATCATCTCCAAAGGCCGTCACCATTTTGAGGGTGATGTGCATGACTTGTTTGTGCTCAAGGACGAGGTGATCGAGCCTTTGCTCGAGTCAACTAGCGGGGTTTTGACCTCAAAGGTTCCCCCACTTAAGGTCATCGACTTGGGTAGTGGGTCCTAGCGGTTAGCTACTATGCAGAAGGAACTTACTGAGGGGGATCACCTTGCTCCAGATTCGGTAGGAGTTAGGATCCTGACTAGAGATAAGCCTAGCACTACTATGCAAGATAAAAAAAGTGAATGAGGTTCCTGAGTTTTCGAGAAGGATCAGGTTTTTAAGGAACTAGTTGCTGGAAATGAGTCGGTTGCAGCGGAGAGTCAGCTCTTCTAGAGGTTCCTCAAGGAGGTCGATATGAGTGGCCTATCCCCCATCACATTAGCATACACTGTCCTCTTGAATAGGAGAGGTTAAGGATGACCCTTACTAGGTCAGCTAGGCTGGCTTCAGACATAAGAGGAAGACGACTCCATTTTGTAGGGAGTTGTCCATTGGATTCAAGAGGGTTGGTCCTTAAATCTAGGACCGACCAAGCTCAGGCAGTTGAGTAGATTTTCCTCTCTAGCGACTAAACCTTGCTAAGTGGAGTACCTAATCTTGAACTTCATCAAACTCTCTGAAGCTATCTCACTAGAGGGCTGATCGTGGAGACCGAGTTGTTCTATTGTTATGAATCGGCCCATGAGCTTTTCTTCAAGCTTCAGGTAGTGGTGTCGGCTCACAGGGATGCCCATGAGACAGTCAAGGTATTGGCTGCTAAAAGGGAGGATGAGCTAGATCAACTTAAGAAGGATCAAGTGGAGATGGAGCGCAAGCTGACCACCCAGACTGATAAGATCAAGCCTACTATCGATCTCTCCTGACATCGAGCTTTCCTCCTTGCTCAAGTCTAGATGAAGATGAAAAACATGTAGGAGGAGGTCAATCATGCCCATCACGACTTTGATGTTGCCGACAAGAGGATCAAGTATCTCAACTCAAAAGTTGAGTCAGAGAAGAGGAGAGAGAAGATGCTTAGAAGTAGGCCCGGGTGGCTCGGCTTGATATGAAGGAGTTGAAGGTGAGGCTGCGAGAGGAGGCATCTATTCAGGAGTCTCTTCAAAAGGATGTTGTCTAGGCCGCTCAAAGAGCTAAGTAGCAGCATAGTTCTCTCCTCGAGCAAGACCGAGACCTCAAAAAAATGTCTTGCATTCCTATAGTTGAGTGCTTTCAAGAATCAAATAATTGAGAAGTATTGTGCCGGTGCTCTTGATAAAGTGGAGGTTGCTCTTGCTTTTAAGTCGGGTTACAATTACTTGATGAAGCAGCTTCCCCACGAGCTTCGAGTCAACCCCGACCAATTCGAGTATCCCTCTAGAGTGGACATTTGCCTTGATGTCCCTAAGACGCTTGAGGTGGATAGCAGTTTGGTGAATCAGATGAGGGCTCGATTGCAGAGGGTTTCTAGTGAAGAAGTCGAGTCACCTTTTCCATCCAATCGACTGGGGACCTCAAGTCGGGTTCTAGAGCGGAATGGAAGAATAGAATTCATGTAGCCGACCCCAAACAATTGGGATAGAGACTTTTTTGTTGTTATTGTTGTTTCTTCTAACTATTCAAATTTTCTTTTCGGCTTCTTTATACCATGTATCTTTACCTCTAGATTACTCCTACCAAATTCAACAATTATCACATTGATATGCCACTTCACTTTCTCTCTTTTGAAAACCAACGTCCATGCGCTCATCCAGCCATCTCACTCTCTAGCTCCCATGCATTTGCAGTTGCACTGATAACATGAACGTGCTAATTTAGTTTTAACTGACGATCCACCATCAAATTAATTCAGCAAACCATCAGTTTTTTCGAGGCCCAGTTAAATATTGTACTCCCTCAACACCCAGCCCGGCCCAAGATATTTCACTTACTGCCTCTTTCTACTTTTGCCGCATAACATTTGGTTGAGACGAAAGATCGAACGTCTGGGCTTCACAAAACCAAGGCAAAGCGAGACCAGCAGCAGCAGAATCAAGCAGAGGTGAAGAGAGAGAACTCACGATGGGTTTCATGTTTAGGGTGAGGTTGTCGGCGTTCTTCGCCGGCGCCGCCGCGGCATCGGTGGGCGGATTCTTGGGCGGATTCTATTATCTGTACAAGGATTACATGATAGCTCAACAAGCCATCTCTCAGCAGGTTCTCTCCTTTCAAATCTTTGCATGATTATGGATCTAATCTGCTGCAGTAATTGATTTGATCTGTTTGTTGTGGCTTAAATTGTTGCAACTTTAGATTTCAGCTTCCCCCAATCGACCGTAATCAATAAGAAAATGTAGATGTTTAGAATTTTGTATTGGGATTAAGAATCAAAGTGACATTATTTTGGAAATGGGTTTTGTTTAAAATTGACAGGGGAACTTCTAATCGGCTCTTGTGAGTTTCAATTCTTATTATTGTTTGGGGGTAAACTGTAATGTTGTCAGGTGTTTACTTTTCATGGTTAATGGACAATGTTTGCCACAATCGCAACTGCATCTTCGCTTCGTTCGA